CCACTGGAGCCGCACCTCCACTTCCTGCTTTTTCTGTGATTAATTGGAGATAAAAGTTTCACAAACTTTATTGCCCTGGCTGGCTTTGAACTACAATCCTCAGATCTTATAGCCTTCTGAGTTCCTGAGAAGCTAAGATTAGAAGTTTGAGCCAGCTATTGTACCCAGCTATTGCTTTTAAGAAATAAAAATAAAATTCTGTATACAAACACAGGATATTTAATTCCCAAACTATTTTCTCCTTTTATTTAGTATTTGCTTGAGAAGGAAGTGACGTTGGCTGGCCTCTGAGGACCATTTACCTAAAACCAGTTTAAAATTCCCTTTTATAATCTGCATTCCAGGTAAATAGATTTCATGGCTAAAGTCGCAGAACAAACAGGTGATAATATATGTAAAGTTCTTATCCTATCAGGTATTTTCTGATACCTGGATAAAACATTCAAAATTTAAGAAAAATTATAGTATGTACTTTCAGTCCTACAAAATGTAGTTGCTATGCAATGTAAATTAAATAGTAAAGCTAGCTAGAATAATAAAACTCATGTAGTCATTCAAGTATATTGAGAAATAATGATAAATTGAATGATAAATTGTATTTGTTTCTATTTTAGCTTAGGAATTCTTGCCCATTCTAGTAGATATCCTGGCATGAGCCAACATATCAGGTACTTGATCAGTCATATTGCCCACAGACTTGGTCACACAGATTAAGGCAAGTCAATTATAATCTATTAATCTATTAACCACACCAACCAAGTGATTGTCTTACCTTCTCCGATATGTGAGCCTCACAAATGAGAAGCCACCTACAGCAAGCCGAGGCCCCCTCATGTGCGTCAAAGTCATCAATATCTAGATTATTTTCCACTTACACCATCTAGCAGAGAAATGCCAAATTTGCCTCTGATTTTTAGTGCTTCGCCATTACAATTTAGAAAGTGGACTGTTCTTTATGGTCTGAGCTAATTTTGCGCCTGGGAAGTCAAGATCAGCAGCCTACTCCCAGATGTGAGGAGCCTGGGCAGAGCCTGCCTTTCTTACTTTTTTACACATGGCCTCTGGCTTCTGGCCTAAGGCCAGCTTCCAACTCTTGCGAAGGGTCCAGTTAGGATACTTCAGGGACAAGGAGGCAGGACTGGGTAGCACCCCTCCCCCCCCACATACACACGGTGGCTAAGTGCCTGGAGGAAAATTGCTCAGAAGCTGGCTGGCTCTCAGTTACAAGGCTGCCCAGATAGGACAAACTGGGTCACAGACGCCCATCCAGGAGCTTTAACTACACACACACACACACACACACACACGTCCTATGCCCCTGTGGAGACTAAGACCTGATTTGGGGAACTGGGTACTAGGATATGAACTCTGGGCTTCTGCTTTTAGGCATGTTTTCTACTACTTGATCCACACACCCACCCGTTTTACTTTAGTTATTTTTGTAAGAAGGGCCTGGAGTTTTTGCCCAGGCTGGCTTCAGTCTTTGATTCTACCACCTGTGACCTTCCAAGTATCTGGGATCATAGGTGACAACTCCACACCTGGCTACACCACTGGCTCAAGCAGAAGTTAAAGCAGAGGTAATCATGATTTATTTAGTAAGGAATCAGTTGTTAGGAATGGGTAGAATGCCGGGCGCTGGTGGCTCATGCCTGTAATTCTAGCTACTCAGGAGGCTGAGATCTGAGGATCCCGGTTCAAAGCCAGCCCCGGCAGGAAACTCCATGAGACTCTTATCTTCAATAAACCACTAGAAAACCGGAAGTGGCGCTGTGGCTCAAGCGGTAGAGCCGCTCGCCTTGAGCCAAAGAGCTGAGGGACAGCGCCCAGGCCCAGAGTTCAAGCCCACGACCGACAAAAAAAAAAAAAAATAAGAGGGGAGAACTCTCTAAATACCACCTCTCCTAACGTAAGGTCAGGGGGAGAAAGTTCTCCACAGGAGGCGTGGGACCTACAGCAATGGCACACACTGGGAAGGCTTTGGATCCCGTGTGGTTGCTGTGGAATCAGCAGTGCAGCCTTTGCTCATGAACATTGCATGTGTAAATGGGGAATGAGAGACAAGAGTAGCCGGGGTGGGGCCGGTGACAGCACCTCTTGGCAACTGTGAGCCCCCAGCTGGAGGGCTAATTTTTAATGGAGAACAAAGGTGGGGTAGCAAATTCCCACTGTTGGTGTTTGCACTCAAGTGAGGTGTGGTATGCCTACAGCAGTACGTGCAAAAAGGCCACTGAGGGAGAAGCACAGGTGTGTCAGGGTGTGTGTAAGACTTCCCTATACAGACAAACAGGGCGGCTCCCCCACTGCCCAGAGAGGGCCCTGTTCTTCCCGGGGTGTCCTAGAGCCGCTTTGCTTTCGAAGGTGGATGTGCAGACTCCAGGGAGAAGCTTGTCTCCACATGGCCACCAGTTCATCACGGGGATCGGCAGTGCAGCTGCATGCTCCTGAACACTCCATGCACGGCTGAAAACTGCCTGCTGAGGGCCAGGAAAAGCAGAAGAAACATTGGGGCCTGAGAAATGGGGAATAAGAAAGTTAAGAAAAAAAATCGGGTTACCATGGAAACTGGACGTCATCACCTGGTGACCAAGACAGAATGTTTCTGTGCCAGAACTCAGGGCCTGGGCGCTGTCCCTCAGCATTTTTGCTCACGTCTAGCACTCTACCACTTGAACTACAGCTCCACATGGGGATTTTTGGTACTTAATTGGAAATGAGTCTCATGGACTTCCCCACCTGGGCTGGCTTTGAACTATGACCATCAGATCTCAGCCTCCTGATTAGGAAGGAATACAGGCATGAGCCACTAGCACCTGGGGAGAAACTCGGCTGAGAAATGGACTCCGGGGGAGGAGGTTTGACTCCGCTTAGCAAACCGGTTCTGGCCTCTGGCAGCAAATCTTCCCTCACTAAAGCTACTGCCCTCCACCCATTCCTGTGTTGGCACTCTGTGTCCACAAGGTGGCTCTTGGATAAACGTCTAGGTCACAATTTTCTCATGGGAGTGAAATTATCTTTGTAGAGGGAATTACTTGATAATAGTTCAAGTAGGATTTAAAATCCTTATTCATAAGGGAACTTTCCACAATTCTATTCCGTACCCTTACTTCACATCCGTTCTCATTATACTTTCAAAAATAAAAAGGAAAAAAGAAATCCTATTTATCACTGTTTGTTTTCTTTGTAAATTTTATAGGCAAATTTTTCTTCAGCTATTTAACAGAACACCTGACAGATTGCAAAAGTATCTGTGTTGTCTTCAATTGGTTGGCAGGCTCTCCACCACTTGAGCCATCTTGCCAGCCCTGTTTTGCTTGTTTTTCAGCAAGGGTCTCAAGTATTTTTCCCCAGGCCAACCTCAGACCCTGATGCTATCACTTATTGCCTCCAGTATGCCTAAAATCACAGGCAAGGACCCCACTTCTGGCTATAAAACTGGTAAAGTATGAATGTCATCATTTTATTTACTATCCAATTTCCAAAGTTCTGCCTTTGGGTGGATTTCTGTCATTATCTATTTTTTTATTTTTATTTTTTTTATTTTTTTGTGGGTCCGGTTGTGGGGCCTGAACTCTGGGCCTGGGAGCTGTCCCTCAGCTCTTCAGCTCAAGGCTCTACCACTTGAGCCACAGCGCCACTTCCGGCTTTTTTCTTTTTGCTTATGTGGTGCTGAGGAATCGAACCCAGGGCCTCAGGCATGCAAGGCAAGCACTCTACCACTGAGACATGGTTACATTTGAAATAACAAAAAAAACTTTTGTATGTATTACCATGAATTCTTTATATATTTTCAAAATATTCCAAGCATAGTGCTAGGTAATGCAGTAATCGGACCTTTGGCTCTCTGGAATCTCTTCAGAAATTTCACTAGTCGAGGCAACTAGATTCTTGGGCGCCAGATGGCGGGAGCAATTGTGATTGGTTTTTTTTTTTTGCCCAGTCGTGGGCCTGAACTCTGGGCCTGGGTGCTGTCCCTCAGCTCTTCAGCTCAAGGCTTGTGCTTTACCACTTGAGCCACAGTGCCACTTCCAGCTTTTTTCTTTTTGCTTATGTGGTGCTGAGGAATCGAACCCAGGGCCTCATGCATGCAAGGCA